ATTTATTTTATCATTTTGTATACACAAGTTTAAACAAAACAAAATTGCATTTAGAAAAGCTCTCTAGACAATTTTAATTTTTAAAGTGCAGCCTTGATAAGGTAAGCAGCAGTTGTTGTTGAGCTGCTACTACTGCCTCAAGCTCCTGAAGCAGGGGAGGAAGAGGACGATGATGACGATGCTGTGAGGGTGGTAGCCCCATGGGTTGAAGAGGTTGACGTGGATGCCTTCGGGAGGTTTAGCAGCGACGGATAATGCCGGAGAAGGTATTGAAGCTGGAGTGGGCCGGGAGGAGCCGGCTGGGGATGTTTCAGCATCAGGTGAAAATGAGGCTGAAGATTGCCTGAGAACATTCTCAGAGGAGCCTCCATTAACACAGAGCTTTTTGTTTCTATCGGCACGGTACAGGATCAGCCCCTCCAGGCCAACAGCACAGTCCGGTACTGCCGAACGCAGCCAAGACCCCCTCAAAATGATGGCGCAGCAGTTACATATATCATTTTTGAAGAGAGTTCGAGTCGAAAATTATCCAATTTTTTTTCCAATGAGCGGACGTTGGAGAACAGGATTGATGGAAGCGATGGTCTATGGCGATCTTTCTTTAGCTTCGCTGTTACTCCGTCTCACGCATCTCTTCCCCCGTCCGTTTAAAAAGCACTCTGTAGCTTTTTAAACGGTTAAAAATGTCAGTATTTAAAACTTTTTGTGGCCATAGCTCCAACAGGCATTGGCGATCATAGATGCGGGTTTGATGTCTAGTTTGTATCGTTTTAAGGGGCATATTTTGTAAATTTGTCAAGAGGAGCTGCTCTTGGCCACTGCCTTGGAGCGCCGCCATCTTTAATAAATATATACAATTAGAGAACAACCAGCATCATGAAGACCAAGCAAGTCAGCTGGCAAGTCTGACAGAAAGCTGTGGAGATATTTAAAGCAGGGTTGTTCTAAACTTTGAGATCTTCATTCTACCATGTAAGACTGGAATTAGTACCATGTAAGAATGGAATAAGTATATTAATCAGAGGAGCCATGCATTATACCTTCTGAGGATCTGGGAATATATATATTCCTATATCCTAGGTTAGATGGTGGTTTTAACACCACATAATGACCAAGGAATACAGGTTCTCTGTGCTTTTATCTGGGATAAACTTGCTGTCAAGAAAGATCCACCCCTTCTCTGCCCTCATTTCATTTCCTAATCTCTTTTATGTACATAAAGAATGTGATAACTGTATAGCCAGGACAGAATAACAGTCCTAATTAGATAAAACATTAGATTTAACACATAACAGGCAGGTATTATTTGGGTTTAAGATGAACACATCGTCAATTAAATTAAACCTAACACCTTTGACTTTTTAACAGTGCATACCGACCAGGTATTTCATCCTCAAACACAGTGGTGGTAGAATAAAGCTTTGGTGATGTAGAGTCAAAGAAACTGTTCAGAAATAATTTAAACAAGTTTTTTATCATGATCACAGAAACTAAATCAATGCCAAAGGATCATTTTCTGTTTTTATAATAGGCTAAATATCTGGGAGTGTCAAAAACTGGCAGAAATATTGGTTGCATATAAAATTGTTAAGCAGTAAATAGCTCCACTGGCACTAAAACTATAATCATGGTGATATTATTAGGTTCTATTAACATTATTTGGGATAAGCGTGACTGGAAATGGATGGATGGACGGAAAATTATCATTATGAAAGAAAAAAATTAAACAGTCAGTTGAAGCATATTATACTATAAAATAATAGTATTTTCCTCGACTAAACATAAAAATAATAACAAAGATATATGACTGTATACTAGAAGCAAAGTGTTAACTTACCAGTCTAATAATAAAGTTTAGAAAACAGAATTGGTTTTACATCAGGCTTCTTCTTTCAGCCTGCGCCAACCAATAAACTCCTTTCCAAGGTCGACTCTTGTTTTTCCTCGCACATGATGCCTTTCATGTTTTCTCTTTAAAGCCTCCTCCGAAGGTTTAAACTTTTTCCTTGCCCCAGCCATGACCAGTAGTCAAGCAGGTGGAAAAATAGTAGAGCAAAAGCTTTAGGTCTTTAGCTATACAAGAGCCTGTAGCCGTGAAACGATGTATTTTTCCAGGTCATATGACCTGGCCAGCGACAGTGCATCTTCTCCCAACTTATATAGGTGGTATTTCAAGAGGGGAGCCCCGCTTGTAGCATTGATAGTGTCAATATACAAGTATTCTGGCCTGAAGAATCATTTAAAATAACTCATGCGTCAACTCTTAAGATCTTTAATGAAACTATAAAAAAGTAAGCTTAATCTAAATATTGTTCAAATCTAATTTTGCCTCATTCAGGTAAATCTAGTCTCTCCTCCAGCTGGGTGTTTTGTTATAGACCTATTGTAAAAGTCATTATCCTTAATTGGGGCTTATTTTATCACGTGTTAACAAAGTTCAACACATATAAGATTACAACCTCTTTAATGTGGTTTATGTTTTACTGTGGGAAATCAGATGTAGAGAAACAGATAAATGTCTCCTCAGGTATCGTAAAAAAATTTCAGTTTTGTACACTGTCAGCCCGTCCCTCAGCCTCATGATGCTGACTGGTTTTCTCCTGCATGGCTTATAACCATAGAAAGTGTCATCCTGTGGGTGTGGATGTATTTCAGTTGACAGCCTGTCAGCAGTGACGCCTCCATGACATGGCTTCTTCCCTCTTTAGCTTTTCTGCCTTGCCTCCATGCCTCCCGTTGCCTCTAGTCCCATCTGCCAAAGCTCCCCTAACCCCTGACCCCAGCTCAAGGCCAAGGTTGGGAGGTTGTTGCCAGGACAACGTAACAGCCTTCTGGTCCTTGACTGCTGACCCAGAGCCCCCAACATAACCAGGAAGATGATAATTTGCTCCTCTCTGCCCCCCGTGAGCTACTCCATGAAAGGCATTTAGGACTGAGGAGGTGATTGAGCCAAAAAGATGCAGGGATCAATTTTAAATGATGGATGGAGGGATAGACAGATGGACAGAAAGAACAAAAGGGGGACGCGTGTGCTGCTGAAAGGAAATCAGTTAGAATGACCTACTGACCCTCCTCCCCTTAAAGAGATGGAGATGAGTTTGGTCCAAATAGAGCTCCTTCTTTCAATAGTAAAAAAACAAAACAGAAAATGACTAAAGACTCAACTGCATGACCCGTCGCTTTCATCTAGCAAAATGTAGCTTAGATAAAGAAAGTACAGACATAATTAGACATTATTCAGATTTTTGATTAAAGTGTCCACCATGTTTGATTTATTTCACCTGTTCCCTGATGCAAATTTCCATTTTTATCCACACCTTGCCATTTTGAACATACATACCTCGGTTTGGTTCCTGTTAACAAAACAGCTTCAAACTATGTAATTAATCAATCCGTTTGAGTTTATTGTACTAGAAGGTAAGTATGACAATCAATTTAGAGGATAAGCTTGAATACAATGCTCAAGCGTCATATATAATTGAATCTGTTTGTTTTTATTCCCCATAAGGGTTTTTATTAGACGTTATTTCCATTTATTTTGGTTCTGATCTGTATTTGGTTTAAATGAGCTAAATGGTAAACATTGATGAAAAACCATGCATGAATAAATAATACCCATATAAAACCCGACCTTTACACATTGGGACATTATGTAAAGAAAACTAACTGAAATAGGGTCCCAAGAAGAGACTGTGCATCGATCTATGGCCCCATATTAATTCCATTGAAAGGTTTGGTTGAGGACAACTTTGAATGAAAAGTAGGGTACGACACAGGTCCTTTATGTATCGTCTAATTTAAGCAGATTCTTTAATATCCACTGGACACCCAGCTAGGATGCCTAAGTGGGTTTACCAATATGGTTGCAGTGTACCTACAGTCCTCTTACCCCAGTGAGTCCCATTCATAGATTGTGACCATTTAGTACTCCACCAGATGGAGCAAAACGTATGTGCGGCCCGCACACAATCATTGGGTGGTGTGCCTGTGTTTGTGTGTGGTCACCTTCTGGAAGGCCTCTTTGCTCTTCAATGCAGCCTCCCGTTGAGCAGCAGTGGATGTGTAGATGGCCGAACGATACTGAGTGCCTTGATCGTTGTGCTGCTTCATACCTGCATAAAAAAAAGAACAAGCAATGATAATATAAGCCATATGATGGGAGGTGCATTCAATCTTAATTAAATAAAAATTCCTCAAATTTACGTCAAACTGAATCCTTTGTTTAAATGAAATAAGAACCGCAAAAAAGGGCTGCTCAGTGGAGCTGTGGGTAGCACTGCTGCCTTGCAGCAAGAAGGTTTTAGGTTCAATTCCCAGCACAGGGTCTTCCTGCATGGAGTTTGCATTTTCTCCCTGAGCATGCGTGGGTTCTCTCTGAGTACTCACACAGTCCAAAAAAAAAAAACATAGCTGTTAGCTGCTTCTTTAAATTCTACTTAAGTGTGAGTGTGTGCATGAATGGTTGTCTGTCCTGGCAACCTGTCCAGGGTGTACCCCGCCTCTCGCCTGTAGACAGCTGGAGGTAGGCACCAGCACCCCTCGTGACCCTGCTTGGAATATGCGTGGTGGAAAATGAATGGATGAATGGAACTGCAAAGATCAGATCTGTTTTGGACTTTCAGTGAAAGGCGGCCTGATACATCAAGGTATTTGCATCCCTTACAGATGGTTTCATTTCACCCAGGCCCAATTAGTGTGAAATCTTTAAAATAAATTCCTTAAAAAAAAAAAAAAAATATCCACTGGACTTGGTTTTCAAGATTTGAAGACGTTTCACCACCTCTCCAGGAAGCTTTCTCAATTCAAATGTCTGGATCCGCATTGAGTTTGAGTCTTATATAGACAAAGCCTTATTTCGCTTGGAAACATGCAAATTGTAACCGATGAATGGGTCGTTTAGTTCCATCGTTAGCCTGTAATATCTGAACCTGTCTATGATTCTAAGGGTCGGTCGTTAAAGGGGGGGATTGCCGTTAAAATAAAAAAATAGAGAGTAAAACTTCAACACGCGTTAGGCCAAATTAAAATACATAGACCACTGAGTACCCAGCTCAAAAGAAATCCAAGAATAGTCTAGAGAAAAAGCCCCCAACGTTCTCTTGAAAAATAAAACTAACCAAACCCAACTGCCATTGTGTGAACAAATAATTGCTCTCTAATAACTCGTTTTTTCCACCACTGATACCATGAAAGACCGTTAAGTGTTAGCAACAACAAGAACTGAGTCTATTAAAATACCTTGGCCCATTCTTAATTATAAACTGTTTGATTTAAGATGCAAGGAAAGGTTTTAGAGCAAAGACAGCATGACCTCAGTTTAATTTTGATCCAAACTGCTTCTCAGTCAGCAGTAGCTGTTGCCCTGTAATGCTCACTAAAAGGCCATTCTTTCCCCAGTGCTTTAGATGTTCTCCTGGGATCTTTTATAACAGCCTGGATGAGGCTGAAGAGCTCTTGGATTAATTTTGACAGGATGGTCTCCCTTTAAGATTCACATCTGCTCCATCATTTTCTCCATTTGTAACTAAAGACTCTTACTGAGCTTCACTTTGTCCCCAAAGTTAAAGGGATAGATTTGTGACATTTGAAGGATGGTGTATCTCTATGACTTTGGTTTTCTTTTCCACATGCCAACTTAGTTTGCTTAAATTCTCCTTCAATAAAATGAGTCATCTATTAAACTTAGTTATCTTTTCCTAGTCTACGTTTTTTTGCCAGTTTGAGCATTTATATGTAGGAAATAAAGACCAAACAGAACAAATTTGTAAGGGTCTTTTTGAATATATTAAAGAAAGATAAATCAAAGTATCCATATCATGTAGAGGTCATTTAGTTGATCTGTTTTTTATTTCTTTTACTGGAGAAGAAGCACTTTTAAGATGTTATCTTGTTATATTTGAGTACTACTTTGCTAAAACCTTTGAATGTGAAGTGCAAACATAAAATCTATACAGAGTAAAGTACCTTTTTAAAGCAGCATTTTCTTCTATCATCTGTGAGACAATCAACATTTTCATCAGCTTTACATCAGTAGGTTTTGAAGCCAGCCAGGCCTAAAGCACCGTGATTAGAGGAATAAACAGCTTCTATCACTCCTAAGGTTTTAGTTCTGCAGCTCCTGCATCGATGTGCAGCTCCCTACTGACTCCAGTATTTGCTTTTGGTGTGAAAGGCTATTCTTTTTCTCATCCATAACTAGAAATGCTCTAGTTTCTCAATTTCTAGCAGCTGTTATGAGCTGCAGCCAGTTAAGACTATGTGCTCCTTTGAGGCAGAAACAGATATGTCTCCAATAGACTGACAGTGCCATGAACTCAGCTCACTTAAACTTGAGCTTTTTCTCCTTTGGAGGCTAATTCAGTCTTGACTTTCCACTGGTTGACACATAGTTTATATCCAGTTGTATCTGCATTTGTCTTCTTTTGATTTCAGGACTTTTTTCATGTTTCTTATTGAGTTAGGAAATATTCTGGCAGTAAATTGGGGAGAAACTATAGCTGAAAGCCCGACAGTGATTGCTAATCACCTTGTAAAGTTGATTTGAGAACATGTTGGCAAACAGCTTCTTGGTTGTACATCAAACATGCACTGGTGCTGGCATCCATGAGGCGTCTGAACTCATCCAACAAATCTGAGTTTCAACACTCTGTTTTGTTTATGAAAAAAACAAGCAACTCCTGAGGGGGATCACTGGCTTTTCAGTAACTAAATGCTAAACTGTGTTCAGTAAATATTAACTCAGAGTTTCTATTTTGTGTTCGGTGCTTGGCAGGTTAGGCGACAGTTTCCTTTGCTGCCATATGCTGCGGCTACAAATGAACTGGGTATCAACAGTCAAACCAATTGTTATTCTGAGGTAACCCAATTATTATAATCTGATGGTTTTTACTGTCACAGAAAGTGCAAGATGCTTGAGAAAGCTATTAAAGAACATAACATACCATCTATAAAAATCATAATATAAGAAAAAATGTATGCATTTTCAGACTGCTTATAAATTCTGCATATTTGGTCTCATAATTTCACCCAATCGTAAAACACAGAGGTACTGTAATTCTGATATTGAACTGATACACTATCATCGTGATTTATAAATACAATTATTACTTATTTTGTAGTCTGGAATGTTAGAAAAGGTTTTATTAAGTAATATTACTCAAATAAGATGAAATAGTCAAAAACAATCGTAATGAGAGTAACTGACGGATTATCCAACATTTTACATAAACTTTTAACAGAATTGGAGTCTTTCTATCAGCTTATTTTCATCGTGGAGTTTGGATAAAGGCAAACATATTCCTATATTCATGTTTTGGTCGATATCACACTGATTTCCGACAGATTTGAAACCTGCCCCCTAAAGTGGGAAAGACAGAAGCCATTCCCCATGGTGGCTCCTCCTGGACTCGCCTAACCGCTTAACCAGCTACAAACTAGCAGATTATGTGCGTCTGACTAATATGGGCCTTTCTCCGCGAACCCACATGAGCAAAACTAACCACAACAAAAAGTCAGACTATGGAGTTGGGTTTGTTCCAGAAAGTATTTCATTTATTGTGGACTTTAAGCCAGCCTGTTTTGCTTTACTATGACGAACTCTTTTCTTATGCTACGATTTGTTGTTTTACCCTGCTGTTTTTCCTTCTCCTACCTTCTGTGGCAGCATCACCGTGGCAGTGTTGCAGTGCCCCTTAATGGCACGGCATTTGTTCACTTTCGTCTTTACTCTCAAACTTTTCCGTGCAGAAACTGTTTCAGTTGAGGATGTAGCCTAAATTGAATGGATGAGAGGTTCATAAAACAGAGGGAGTAGTCAGATGTTTTCTATTAAAGCACTTGTGTTTGTCATGTCCTGGATGACTTGGAATCTACACGGCCGGCATATCAAATATAAGCATTTGCACAATTTAATACAATGACTGCATTGGCACGGACCTTCCTGTGATTTATGTGGAGCCTTAAAATCAGGAATTACATTTGGCAGGGCTGAGAATTACCCAGAGGATGCATTAAGCACTTTAACTTAGATGTGTGTTACCTCTGGCTGCATTAAGCCAAGATATTCATGGCTGAATAATGAAATTTAGGCCTCAGAGAAGCACCTCAGATTGAGATTAAAATTATGTCACTTATCTTTATCCCTTATAGTGATCAGTTTTGACCATCACAGTATTAACTTACAGTTTAGTTAGTTAACCCTGCTGTAGTACAGTAGCAGTACTGCTGCGGGATCTTTCTGGGTACACTACGGGAGAGGAACAATCTCCAGTGACACAGAAAATATCTCTTTGACACAGTAATCTGCATATCTTGTTGTCTTTAGATTAAATGCTACCTTACATCATGGAGTGTCACAACCTATCTGCCACATGGGGAGTTCAAGCGGAACGGCCATAAGTATGAATCTGGTCGTCATTCAAATCAAAGCAGACAAGCAACCAGGGGCTGCTCTGTGACACACACTGAATAAACTCACAATAAGTGAAGTTTGCTGCGCCAGAGAATCTGTTTACTGAATGTTCCTCGATAAAAGTCAGTGGGTGCATGGTTCAAAGATGATGACAAACTGTAAGGAAGGGAAAAAGCTGAAATGCATAAACATTTGTTCTCAAGATTCAATTGAATATTGTTAAAATACAAATATTTTAGTTATTTAAATAAATTAATAATGAACACAAACAGAACCTGCAAGTTATGATAATTTTTCATGCTTTGGTCCTGTAAATAATTAAACAGCCAGTGACTCCACCAATTTCTTTAGGTACCGATAACTTGCAGAATTTTGCAAATATAAAGAAAATACTTCATTTAAATGCTGATTTCTGTCCATCTTTTTGTAATGGATTAAGTGAATGAGAAGGGAAAAAAAGATTTTTCCTCACATTTTACCAACAAACAATGTCTGGATGGTCTTCAGAAACACCAGTTCCTACATTTACATAAGAGCAGCAGCTGCTGCAGCATAATGCAGAATTTTCTCACCCTTCCGACACATTAATGAAGACGCTTTTAGGACTGCAGCACACCTAGTTCTGGATATTTCAGCAAGAAATTTTCACTTATAGATCTGCAAACCTAGTAGAAATATTCCCAAACAGAACTCCCGCTTTAA